TGAATAACTGATTCAAACACTGGCTGCTGTGCTTCCAACCCAGCTTCTTGCTGTTGTATTTGGAGACAGAGAATGAAAGGCCCTGGTGTAGCTCCAGGTTCTGGGCTTCAGTCTGGCCTTTGCTGCTGGCATTAGGGGGAGTGAATCAACGGATGGAAAAATCATTCTGTGTCTCTATGTCTTTCTCTTCCGATCGCTCTCTCCCTGTGTGTCACTCTGTCTTACAACAAGCAAATAAGTTTTTAAGTGAATTATTATGGATGATTACTTCCTGTTTGAATAATTGGCAATGATAGTCCTCAGGCCATATATTCGCATGAGAGTTTGTACTGCAACACTTGCATGGTTAATCTTGGTGTCAAAAATTCAGCAAGCCACTTGAGGTATAGAGAAAAAGGTAAGATTACTTCTAATCTTTTCCCTCAGAAATAATAATTTATAGATTTTGGTAAACCTGTTCACGAGCTTTGAATGTGAGCTCTTCAAAAGGCTTATGGAAAATCTGTAGTGTGAAAAGAACTGTGTGTGGATTTCAAAACCACTTTCCACAATGTTCAACGTTCAGTTCCTTTCCCATGAACTGAACTGTTCCAGTGTATTTATGTCACAGGATCATATTTATGAATATTGCATTGTACCCTGAGTTTTTAAAAAATATATTATCCGGTAATTTTTTAAGAATTATTTTTTATTACAAAGTCAGATATACAGAGAGGAGGAGAGACAAAGAGGAAGATCTTCCGTCTGATGATTCACTCCCCAAGTGAGTGCAACGGTCGGTGCTGCGCCAATCCGAAGCAGGAAACCAGGAACTTCTTCCAGGTCTCCCACACAGGTGCAGGGTCCCAAAGCTTTGGGCTGTCCTTGACTGCCTTCCCAGGCCACAAGCAGGGAGCTGGATGGAAAGTGGAGCTGCCAGGATTAGAACCGGTGCCCATATGGGATCCCGGCGCTTTCAAGGCAAGGACTTTAGCCGCTAGGCCACGCTGCTGGGCCCAACTTCTTTTTAAATATGTATTTAGTTAAAAGGCAGAGCGACAAAGTAGAGGGAGAAAAAGGCGGAAGACACGGTGAGAAAGAGACAGACAGGGAAAATTAGAATCTTCCCTCTACTTTCTCACTCTCCAGATACCTGCAACATCTAACACATCAAGTGGGAAGTCAGAAACCATTCTAGAACCTCCCACTTGGATGGCAGAAACCTAAGCACTTAGACCAGTATCTTTTGCCTCCCCCAAGACATTAACCAGAAGCTGGATGGCTTAACCCTGCGTCACAAGACTGGCACTGCATTCTGATTTACAAAACTTTTTAGAAAAGGATCTATGCAAACCTTACTGTTGACAATTGTATCTATTTCTTACTGTGGCTATGTTGTCCTTTATTTGGTCACATGGTACTTTTGACTAACCACATGGTTTAACTGGGTTAGCTACTCCCATTACTCCATTGTGAAGCAACCATTTGTGAAGCAACCATTTGTGCCCTCAGCCATTTTGCTGTTCTGCAAAGGGTCTGAGTTAACAGAATAATCAACCTGAAGCCATTTTCTATTTTGTGTTCCATTTTCGATTTTGTGTTCCATTTTCTATTTTGTGTTCTATTTTGCGTGCCATGAACGAAGACTCTTCTAGATTTATTTGAACAGAATTGAGCTCAGATTGAAAGAGTTATAGTAGCTTCTAATGAACAGAAACACTGGGCTTCATCTTAGGGCCACCTCCAAGGGACCCCCTCTCATTCATACTGACTGACCAGATTGCCGGCATGGAAAGAGCGCTCACTTGCTAAAGACCAAGGGAGAGTCCTTGTACTGCCCCTTAAATATCCAGTTACATTCATCCTTAATGAAACACATCATGTCTGTTTCCTGTTACTGGTTTCCTAGGGCTCTACTTCCCTCGTTTTCAGCTTGATGTTTTAAATGTAACTAAAGCCCTCCGCTAAGATATTTTATTCATCTTCTCTCTACCTCTATCTTTCACATTCTGATAAAATCTCCACTTACAAAAGCTTCTTCGAAATTAACAATGATTTTATTTATTCATTCATTTGTTTTTCTGCCATTTTCTACTTTGAACAATTCTATTAATGAAATGCCTCTGTTCCGTACGACTGCCTAGAACGCATGTTTGTTCCTCTCTGTTGTCCACCACATGTTAATATTTTGGAGACTAAGGGACAAGGGGCTGACAAATGAAGAAAACGACCTTCTGGTGGAGGCATGCAGAGTTAGGGGTGATTTATCAATCAAAGGGGGAAATCTGTGTGTGGCAACTCAGATCTGACTTTGAAATCTGTCACGATATTCTGATGAAATGGATTATCTGAGCCTTCATTTATGCTGTTTTCACTCCTAATTTTTGCAGCTCTATGAATAGTTTAGTGTACTTTAAAATATTCAATTATTTGAAAGTGAGAGAGAGAAGACAGAGAAGAGAGAGCAGAGAGGGGGGAAAAAGAGCAGAGAGAGAGGGGGAGAGAGAGAGAGAGAGGATGAATATTTTTCCATCCACTGGTAATGGCTGGGGCTGAGCCTCTGGAATCCTGGCTTCTCACTGCCTCGGCAGGTGCATGGAGTTGGATTGCAAATGGGGCCCCTGAACCTGGGTTCTGATGATGGGCTGCTAGCATCGTAAGCAGCTGAATCGCATCACTGGTCTCTATTTTAATATATTCACACAGTGAAAGAAGTCATAAAGTCACATAGAGGTAATCCCTTTCTTTCATTAGGGACCCGAATTGTGGTAGTTTGTGTTTTTCTTAAAAAAAAAAAAATTTTTTAACCAACTTTCAAACAATTGGAGGTGGAATAAACACAAAATTACATTGACTAGAAATTGACAAAAAGTAAATTGCCAAGTAACCTGATCTTTTTTCTCATGTAACAATAACTTTCTTTTACACACACACACGAAGGCATTTTAGAAAATTCATTAAAAAAAAAAAAGGAATTAGATAAACGTCCTGTAGTTTCTTTGGGGGGGGGGGATGTGACTTCACACAAGTTTCTCTTAGTCAACATTTTCTATAGTAAGCATGCAACATTTGAGTAGTATGACAAAATCTAAACGCTCTCTGCATAATTTCACCTTTTCCTTTGGTAGAGAGAGAACTGTTTAAAATCAATGCCCTTGGGCCATATGTGGAAAAGTGTTGTACAAATTTTTTAAAATTGCTTTTTATTGAGATGGATCTATGTTGGAGAGAGAGGTTCCACGCAGTGGTTCGCTCCCCAGATGTCCGCAATGGATAGAACTGAACAGAGCCTACCTGAGCTCAGTCCTCGGTCCAGTTCTCCCCCAATCCTCCCAGGTTCTGCATCAGAGTCAGAGCCTGGGAGCTGAACTCATCAAGCATGAAAGTATCTTTGTTTAAAACAGTTATTAATCTTTATTGGAAATGCAGATCAGACTCGTGGAGAAAAGGAGAGACAGAAAGAAATATCTTCCACCTGCTCTTTCAATCCCCAAATGACCGCAACTGAAAAAAACCATAGCCAGGAGCTAGGGACCTCCACCACCGGGTCTCCCAGATGGGTACAGGGCCCCCAGGCCTTGAGCCATCCTTGACTGCTTTCCCAGGCCACACGCAGGGAGCTGGATGGGAAGTGGCAGGGAGCTGGATGGGAAGTGGAGCAGCGGAGACAGGAACTAACACCCACAATGGGATCCTGGCATTTGAAGGGGAAAGCTAGCCAATCGAGCTATTGTACTGGGCCTAGGATGCGAGCATCTTAGCTGGTGAGCTAAATGCCTGCTCCCTAAAAACATTAAACGTTTTAGAAACAGCTAGAAAGAATGTAGGGCCATGTACTTTGAGTGTGGGAATACAGAGTAGAATACTTTGGTGGATCAAACAATGAAATCTAAAAGTGCAAAAGTGCTTAAAGAGAGCAGAGATGAAGGTGATCATTCAGGGAATTCCAAATGGCCCGAAAGGTGCAGCTTTTTCACAGCAGTAATTCATTTCAATATCTCCCTATTTCCCGATAAAGCCTCCGAGTGATAATCAGGCCCTCAAGTCGGTTAGTCAGCTTCCGATCACTTAAATACAGTATAGACCAGAAAAGATGTCAAATGGAATAGATTTCATTATTGCACATTTTGTTAAACACCTAGTAATAAAAAACTTTTACAAAACAGTCCTAAAGAAACAAATAGAACGAGAACATAAACCCGGGTTGTGCAAAGAGGAGACTATCACATACAGGTGTTAATACTAGTTTTAGACTTCAGAATTATTTTTAAAATCTGGACTAGCGATTTCTTGTTAGACATGACAAATGCTTTGCAGGGAGTCTGGCTGGAACATGGTCACTTTTAGGACATTCTCCTGTCACAAGTTCCATTCTATTTTGCAAGCAGCCAGAGCATTACTTAGCAGTGTGATCTTCGCTCTGGAAATGAGTGAACTATTCCCGCATTTCCTTTTCCTAGCCACAACAGCTGTCTGTACTTTCGAACCATCAGCCATGACAAGTCATCTCATATAAACACACTTTTCCAGCATAATCAGACTCCTCCATGATTTGCCTTTTTCACCCCGGGCCATCCGGAAATTCTGTCAGAATGGAAAAAGCTCAAGTGTACAGTGGGTTTTCTCCCTCTTTCCAATGTTTATTTTATCATTTTTCTTCTTTTTTCCCCCCCTTTTCAAAAAGTTTCACAGTGTTCACAAGCAATTTCCACCCAAAGAAGCCAAGATCTTGCCCTGAGTTCTCCATATTTGAGCTGGCACAGCTGCTGCAGCTGTCCGGGGCAGGTCCGTGGCCTCAGCCTGCAGGCCAGCCTTGTGCTGCTGCAGGGAGCAGCTGCTGGCGAGTGCGCCTGGCTGTGTGCAGGTCTGCAAGTCCACAGTGCCCAGGAAATCCCTTCTGCCTGAACCCTCTCTCTGCATATGTGACAAGGAGACATAACCAGGGGTCCAGGTCTGGCTGAGGGCACAGGCTGGGAAGGCCAGCAAGCAGAGACAAAGGACAGGAAACCGTTGGGCCTTACCTGCAGTTCAAGACCCTGTCTGTCCTCCAGCCACAGCAGTGGAGACAGTGGCAGCGCAAGCAGGCCCGCCTTGCTGTATGATCCAACCGTGTGAGCAGCTGCCGGCCAGCTGTGTACTCCTGCCTGTGGCGGCTATAAATAAGGCCTGTCTAGAACACCATGTGGCTGTGCCCCGGAGATAAGAACCCAGGATGTGGCCCCTGTAAGCCTTTTAAGGTCGCCAAATGACAGGAGCTTCCATCTCTAGCTGGGAAGGGGCTCTCTTGTCCCCATCTGGCCTGATTGCCTCAAGGACACCCTAGGTGTCACAAGCATTCCAGCCATTCAAAGAGTAGCTGGAGTGGCGAAGGCCAACTCTGCCAGGAAGCAAACGTCAGAGGCTCCAGCACACGTACCACTGAGGAGCAGCTGGTTCTGGGGGCCCAGGGGTGGGAAGGTGCTTCATCTGGGCCACACAGAACTCCTGCGGACTGCCTGCTGGTGGCGCTGCTCCTTAGGCAGGGCTCATTGGCCTCCTGCTCCCTGGGGGTGGCTTCCTAAGGCAATTTCTTGGGTGAGAAGGATTCCAGGGAAGACAACTGAGGCCTGGAAAATGCCAGACCCAGTGAAGCTGCAGAGGGGTTGCCGTTCCAGGAGGTCCTCTCGCTCGCTCGCCTCCTCCCTGCTCTCTCTTACATGATTACAGGGTTTCTTGAGCCACAAATCGTCCTCTATAGAGCTCCAGCAGAAAAATTACACACTGTTTTGTTTTAAGGCATATGCTGCAATAAGCAAGAACAGACTAGATTGGAGCAGGGGGAAGCTCCTGGTTTGCTGTCAAGCAGCTGGCAGTCGGTGCCTCTGAGAACCCTTGGTGGCAACCAGAGGGACCACAGCAAGCCAGTCTGCAGATGTCTCCCCAGGATGATCGGGATGTGCTTTTCTCATAGTTCTTTTCATCAGTAGCCAAAGTTGGAAACAATCTACATAGCTAAGCAGAGGCAAACGGCTAAATGATATGGGGGAAGGAAATGAGTGGCATTGGCCTACCCTCTGGGCTAGGAATCGAACTGATACTGGGCACGGATAGCCTAGTGGTTAGGTTGCCTCCACTCATGCTAGGGTGCTTCACTCCCTGCTACTGTGGACCTTAGGAGACAGGAGGTGGTGCCATCCACCTGGCAGACGCTCAGGGAGTCCCCAAGTCCCAGATCAGCTTAGATTCACCCCAGCTGTTGCAGGTGTTTGGGGAAGGGATGGGAGTTCTGTCTGTCTCTTAAATAATTGATTATGTAATTTAAAAAAACTGATGCTCCTAGGTTAACAGGAGAAAAATATATATTTTTTTAAGATTTATTTTTACGCCCGGCGGCGTGGCCTAGTGGCTAAAGTCCTAGCCTTGAACGCGCTGGGATCCCATACGGGCTCCGGTTCTAATCCTGGCAGCTCTACTTCCCATCCAGCTCCCTTGGGGAGTGAATCATTGGACGGAAGATCTTCCTCTCTGTCTCTCCTCCTCTCTGTATAATCTTTTTTTTTTTTTTTTAAGATTTATTTATTTATTGGAAAGTCACATATACAGAGAGGGAAGAGACAGAAAGATCTGCTGTCAGCTGATTCACTCCCAAAGTGACTGCAGTGGCTGCAGCTGAGCTGATCTGAAGCCAGGAGTCAGGAACCTCCTCCAGGTCTCCCATGTGGGTGCAGGATCCCAAAGCTTTGGATCATCCTCAAATGCTTTCAAACCAGGCTACAAGCAGGGAGCTGGATGGGAAGCATGGCCGCTAGGATACAACCAGCGTGCAAGTAAGGCGAGGACCTTAGCCACTAGACCCGAGATAACTAATGTTTAAAAAATACTTTATTTATTTTTACTGGAAAGGCAGAGCTGCAGAGAGAAGTACAGAGAGGAGAAAGATATTCCATCCTCTGGTTCACTCTTTAAATGGCCAAAATAGCCAGAGCTGAGCTGGTCTGAAGGTAAGAGCCAGGAGCTTTTTCTGGGTCTCCCATGTGGATGAAAGGACCCAAGGACTTGGGCAATCCTCCACTACTTTCCCAGGACATTAGCAGGGACCTGGATTAGAAGTAGAGGCAACTAGTATCGAACCATTACTTCAGGTGGCACCACAAAACATGAGACCCCAAGAAGGAATGGATGGCTGCAGCTTCTATGATATCCTGAGTTACTGAGAAGAACAAAGGCTTGGGCTTCTGGGGTCAGGAGGTGGTGACATACATTCTGGGAGAGTCAGGAGAGAAGCTGCTTGGTGCGTTAAGAGGTTGAGTCGGGCAGGTGTTTGGTCCAGTGTTTGCATCCCCACTTGGCATGTTTGCAACCCCTGGCAGAGTACTGGCTACTCTGCTTCTGATTGTGGTTGCTTGCTACTGCACAGCCCAGCACGCAGCACGCAGGAGAGTGAGTCCTTGGGCACCTTCCTTCACTGTTGGAGAACTTGCCATTTCTGGTTTCTGGCTTTCACTTGGCCCAACTCTGGCTGTTGGGAGCATCTGAGGAACAGAACAGGGGTTGCACAATCTTACTTTCAAATAAAAGTAAAAAGAGGGCCCGGCGCAGTGGCGCAAGTGGTTTAGGTCCTCGCCTTGCACTCCTGGGATCCCATATGGGTGCCGGTTCTATCCCGGCAGCCCCGCTTCCCTTCCAGCTCCCTGCCTGTGGCCTGGGAAAGCAGTCGAGGACGGCCCAAAGCCTTGGGACCCTGCACCTGCGTGGGAGACCCGGAAGAGGCTCCTGGCTTCGGATCGGCATAGCATCGGCTGTTGCGCTCACTTGGGGAGTGAATCATCGGACGGAAGATCTTCCTCTCTGTCTCTCCTCTCTGTATATCTGCCTTTCCAATAAAAAAATAAATCTTTAATAAAAAGTAAAAAGAAATAATAAAAAAAATCTTTTAAAAGATTCTCTCAGCACAGATTGAGTTTCATAAGTAATAAAAGTTCTCTCGAAGCAGCCCTGTTCCTGACACAGATACAGTTGTCCTTCCCAATCCAAGGATTCCACATCCTGCATTCAACCAACTGGAGACTGAGTATGTATATATGCAAGTGTAAACCCTTTTGTCTTGTCATCATTACCTAAGCAATACATAGCTTACTGTTTATGTAACAACTGTTACATGAACCATATGACACAGCTACTTCCATAGGGTTTATGCTATGTTAGGTATTGCCAATAATCTAGATATGATTTAAAGTCTTTAGGAAAGTATGAGTGGGTTGTTTGCAAAGCTGGAGAGATTTAGACAAGGAACTTGAACTTCCAAGGACTTTGGTATCTATGGGGGAAGGAAGAGAGAGAGGAAGGGAGGGAATGAAGAAAGGAGGAGGGAGGACAGAAAAGAAAGATTGGGCACTTAAACGAGAAAGCTAAGAAAGTTTGTGAGCCATAGCGTGGGTCACAATACCCTGCAATTATTCCTAGCACTCTGGTGGCCACTGTTATCCCATCTTCTACCGCCCAGTCTATGCTCTTACTGGGACATACCTAAGGCACTTCCAGGTCTTTTATTGAAAGGGTGTGTGTTTTCTCAGGGTGTTACGGCGATTCTTTATTTTTTCACCTAGATGATGAACTCCAGACCTGCCTGTATGATTTAGAGGGATTTCTTTAGCTAGAGATTCTTTTCCTGGATGAGAAGGATTGAAACAAGGGCTCCTGGGACTGCTGCCAAAGAAGGCCCTCCTCTGCATACAGATCTGGGCCTGGGGCTGCCTCCTGGCCAGAAGTAGCAGTGGGGTATGGTATGAGAGCTTTGTTGTGGAGTCATAGGGTTCCCTGAGGACATCAGTAACAGACAGAGCTTGAGGCAGGACCTGGGGGCTGAGGTCCTAATTGGGAGAAAGTGGACAAATCCCTTCGTAGTTGCCCTAACTTCCTGTTGCTGTTGGCTCAGGCCACAACTTGAGAAATGACGCTTACACAGAAGACGACCCCAGAAGCTGTCTCTGCAAGCCCTCCCCACACCCTCCTGGCTCGTGTTCTCTGTCTCCCAAGGCAGCCAGCTATAAAAACATTGTGTACAAGCCTCTTGTCTACCCCACCCTTTCTGGCGTTGGCCTTAAGGCAATTCTCAGATCTACCTTGACCCCTATTCCAGAAGGGACCCTGCCCCACACCCAGGAGAAAGGAATGCTGCAGAGAGGCCAAGAGGAATCTGAACAGACAGGCCTTACTGGACCGCCCCCTCAGTCTCCCACACTGCCTCGTTGCCTTTGTCTTACCACATTTCCTAAGGACAATTCACTCCAAGTCGTTCCGTCTTCAGACCAAAGTCTCCCAGGCCATGTCAAGCAGTGATCACATCGGTTGGTTATGCTTCTCTCATCATCCTGTCTTTCATCATAGAACTGTCTATTATGACCTTCTGTGATGTACCACTGGTGCCTAGCAACTTCCAGCCCTAAGCCTATGTAACAAGGAAACTTTGGGTAAGGTACATTATCCTGTGGGGCTTTTTCTTGATTTCTTGAAATAGCACCCTGAGTGTAGGGGAAGAGAAATTATGTTCTCTCCACCTTTCATGGGTTTCTTAGCTGGCACACCCCGGAACCAAAGACAGATTAGCAAGAAGTTTAATAAGAGAAATCCCTGCTGTCTACAGAGAGGAGAGAACAGCAGACCAAGAGATAGCCAGGGAACCTTGGGTTTAACTACCATCTTTTCCTGAAACAGAGGAGACAGAGAAGGGTGTGTGGGAAACTGGGCTCTGAAGACGCCCGGGAGGAACTCAGGGAAGTGGGATAAGGTTAATGCGGAATGTATGAGTTGGTGTCTTCATAGAGGAGAGAGTGGTCTCCTTCCTGCCTGTGGCAAGAATCATCACCGAGACCCTGTGACAGGAGGAAAACCCAACAACTTCACACAACCAAGCTTCATGTACATGCCAAGACTAAGGATGAACTCTCCACTTTTTTTGCTCAGGGTCTGTGAAGTGGGCATAGCCTGTAGAAATGTGGTCGGGGGAGCCAGCAGCGTGGCATAGAAGGTAAACGTGCTGGTTGCATTGCCAGCATCCCATACAGGTGCCAGTTTGTGTCCTGGCTGCTCCACTTCTGATCCAGCTCCCTGCTAATGCGCTTGGGAAAAGCAGCAGTAGATGGTCCAAGTATCTGGGTTCACGCTA